TGATAATAAGCCCCCCCCCCCGAATACCCCCGTAGAAGCCCATCGCATTACTGAAATTCACACCATTCCAAATATATGCCCCCCCCCACATTTGTTTATCACTATTATACACTAACACAAAAATCACTATTACACCAACACAAAATGTTGTCCATGGGTAAGCCCCCCCCTATATAAGCTCCCCTGCGTATAAACCCATCAAAAACATGTACAAACAAATACAAGCCCAGGGCTCATATTCGGTGGTTTACAGTGTGTCCATATCCATATGCCATTACCTATATTTATACAGCTAATTCAGAAAAGGTTGTCCTTTGCAAACCTTAAACTTGAAACCTTAAACATAAAACTCTAAACGTGCAAAGCATAATGGGAGGCCAAGCATCACTTAATCTGTTTATAAATCATAGATGGGGCCTATTTCTTAGAGACATGGTGAACATCTCCTTACGAGAACAATTCATTCACAAATAGCTGCAATATTCAAATACTATAAGCTTGAAAGCTGAAACTTGTGCTCCCATTAAGCTTTGCACACTTAGAGTTTAAGGTTTGGAAAGGACACCTTTTTTGATTTGGCTATATAGGTATATATATTCATTTCCTTTGCCTGAAAGCCTCATTCTGATGAGTCAAGATGAAAGGGAATTTCACTAATTTGCTTACGATTTTTGAGAATGAGACTTCCTGCCAAGAAGAGAATCATGACATACTGTAAACTATATCAAAGGGTTTGTTCGTCACACACTAATTAGCTAAGATAAAATTAAGGAACTAAAATATAAATATAAAGCTATAAAAAAATCCATCAACCCAACCAAATTCAATACCCCTTGATTACAAAACCTGGTATGGCCATACAAATCACTAATAAACAGTCATTAAATTTCAAATTAAAGGTAACTCAGTTGAACATGTCCCGCTCAAGTACTTGTACAGTGGATATTACAACTATTCAACATGAAGGATTGGGGGAAATGAGCAATGAATCAATAGGGAATGGAGTTTTTGGCAATTGCTTCCCTAAAAAATTCATTAGATCAGGAATAACAGTTGTTGAAAAGCAGTTGACAGACAGCCTGCTGATATGCTATATAAAGAAGCAATATTTTTGCCAAAATTGTCACACATATGTATCCCATTGTTACTTGGGGTGCAGCTAGACAAAAAGTCAATCTCCCTGATAATGCAATTTATTGGGGAGAACAGTCAGTCTATAACATTGTTCAAGTTGCTATTTGATTCACTGTACCAACATCAAGCTTCAGAAATGTCAACCAAAACATGACTCTGCATATGTTATGACATCACTGATGCACTTGACCACATGCACCAAAGAGGATATCTTCACTGTGGCTTGAAGTCCAATACTGTGTTGGTTGCACAAAATAAGGAATACATAATTGACTTCGGGAAAGTTTGTGAAATCTCTTGACCAATGGCGATGAAATACAGGGAAGTGTACAAACACATTGCACCAGAAGTCTTGAACGGATCTCGTGTTATAACTGGGAAGAAAATCAGCAGCACAATCCTATTACAGTTAGCAAATGCAGCTACTGATATTAATAAAATCTAATAGCTTGTATAAACTATGTGAAACACAGCCATAGTGAAAACTCTTGTGCTGTCAAGATGAATCGTCTTTCGGCAGCAGGTTGTCAAGATATTGTGTCTTTCGGCAAACAGTTGGATCTTAACTGTGTTTTTATTGGGTATTTGCTAAATATATACTCTAGCTAACATGGAAGGAATTAATGAGTACCATATTGAGTACACATTGTTTAAATAATATAAAAAAATTAATAAAATTTAATAGCTTGTATAAACTATGTGAAACACAGCCATAGTGAAAACTGTTGTGCTGTCAAGATGAACCGTCTTTCGGCAGCAGGTTGTCAAGATATTGTGTCTTTCGGCAACCAGTTGGATTTTAACTGTGTTTTTAACTAATAGAGTTCTATAAATACATCATTAACAAATTTACTATTATTAAAATGCAGTATAATTACATAGCATTAAAATTGAATACACCACTATTAACATTATCAAATCAATAATAATACAAAGTCGACTGCACTGGGCAAAAATATATCATGCTACTGCCATTAAGCTGCAGAGCTTACCCATTGACAAGTAAAATCATCTTGCGTTAGACAAGTAAAAAAAGTAGGGCACAGAGGGGTGCATTGCGGCTCACTGGCAAGTAAAATCATCTGGCATTAGACAAGTTAAAAAATATAAGTAGGGCGCACTGGAGCGCATTGCGACTCAATGGGTTAAATATGGATATACACAGTATATATTGAATAGCTATCCAGATCTAATGGAACATGAAATAGGTTTGAATAGTACTGAAATGTAAGTAGGCTCTCGCCATTCTTAGGACCTTGAAGTCCTAGATATTTTAATAAAGAGCACCAAAATGAGTGAATACACCACAAGATGTAAATATTTGTATCATATGAAATTGATTCTTCAATTAAATGTATTAAAACAAGTGGAGACAAGGCCATAACAAGCGTTCTTGTCTCCACAGTCTTGTGTTTGGTTCTTGGTAAAAATTATAGAATGATTTGGAATGGATTTTAGAACTGCCACTATTAAATTTATATGTTTATATGGAATGTATCAGGACATCTGGTTGGCTCACTTTAAAGTGCAACTCTCAGCAGGTAAGACATGATTTACTCCTAGAATTTTGTGAGTAAATCTGTTTACTAGCGACCAGGGAATTTGGGCTATGGCCATTGTTAGAATTAGTATAAACACAAGCTATAATCCTTCCTAATACTGACTTTCAATGACAGTATTATGGAATTTTATATAATATTAGTGCCATGAAATATAATATAAAACAAAGCGGAACTACAAAGCCTTAAAGGTTACACTAGGAAAACAGTACCAATAAATAGAATACAAACCTTTAAATTAACCTTTAAACAAACTATAACCACGATCGGCATTAATACAGAAACAGTTTCTTGCCAAAATCTTCGATTTATCATATATAAAATAAACACCACTCTCATCGACGCCATGTTCGAAAAAAAAGACGGAAATTGTACGCCTAAATTCGCTACTTTCCCAAAAGGCACTGGAAACTAATAACTTTTTGACCCAGTCATTAACGCACCTGAGGGTGTTGGATGTTGGATTATGCAGTGTATGCCCCAGCCATCTCATTCCTCTTTTCTGTATCTCTTCGTCTGCTGGGATCTGGAAGGACCTCTGCCATAGGTCTTTGTTGCTGACGGAGTCAGGCCAGCGAATCTGGAGGATCTTTCTCAGACAGGTGTTAATGAAGGACTTAACTCTCTTGATGGTTGCCACTGTTGTCCTCCAGGTCTCAGACCCATACAGGAAGACTGACTTGACGTTGGTGTTTAAGGCCTAGTTTATACGTCGAATTTCAGTCGAACTTAATGCGTCGAATTTTAGTCAAGTCGTGATACCCGACGAAAATTCGACGTATAAATTGATTAAATCCAACGGGTTGCATTAGATGCGACGCTGTCGAATTTTGCGACATGATCAGTCGTGTAATGCGACCGAAACGCGACACTGATTTATACGTCGAATTTCCGTCGCATTTAATAAAATGAATAAATTATTTAAATTAGATTGTTATCCACAACTGTATCCTAAAATCAATAACAACACACTTCGTGGATTCCACGAAGTGTGATTTTCAACATGGCGGACAAACAACATCCATGTTCTAATTGCGAAAAATCCACTAGATATCGTTGTATTACATGTAAAACGTATGTTTGCAACCGTACATTATGTTCTACGGCTATAACAGATCTGACGAAGAAATTGAGGGATGGATTCCAAATGTAAGCGTTGCTTACTGCAACAATTGCTGCCCCGAAATTTCTTCCATATCAATGATTTTCTCTTTCAAGATGTATTTTATTCCGTCAATGGAAAATAACTAGGCACATAATCTTGCCATAAATGTTTAACCATTACTTCACAAACCTCAACGACAATCCTATGAACTCTAAGAAGAAAAAAAGAAACTGGCAGAAAAAGAAACAAAAAAAGAAACTGGCAGCTCAGTTTTAATTTTGTCTCTAACTGGTTTCCAATCTTGTGAAGAATGGTTGAGCAGATTTGTTGTGACACGCAAAAAGTATTCTTTAATTAAACGCTTTTCAGATTAGTTTGACCACCGATAGTCCAACTCCAACCAATAACTCCACTGTACTGATTTTTCATGTCGACGACATGAACGGACCGGATACGGAGCATTTTCGCTTCACACAAATTGGAAATCAGTGCCAAGCATAGCCCAAGAATCTTCATTTTTCTATTTAATTACCAAGTACAAAATTTACAATTGCTTCTGATGCCTTTCTCTTCTAATTTTCAGAATTTGTTTCAAGATAATTGCTTTGGTGAACGCCGCCATATTTATTTTATAGGCCTTCATCTGTCCATCTTAAAGCCTGCAACACCCGCATGTTTTGATTTTTCGTCCAAAATTCGACGTCTAAACTGCACGCAACACTCGAATTTCCGTCGCATAATTGTCACATTAAATTCGACGAATTAAATTCGACTGAAATTCGACGTATAAACTAGGCCTAACAGTCGAACTTCGGTCTTCAGAGACAGTTTCTTTGAACTCCAGATGTTCTTTAGTTGAACAAACCCTGCTAATGCCTTGCCGAATCTTGCTCTTACATCGGCGTCTGTACCACCTTGCCTGTTGACGACACTGCCCAAGTAGGTGGATGCTTCTACTTCTTCCAGGACCTGCTCTTCCAACTTGATATGGTGACTGTTGTCCGCGTTCACTTTCAGGATCTTTGTCTTCCCCCACTGCTTCAATGTCCAAATGTAAATATCGATAGATTGACCCTTCATGCTCTTCGCAGGCATAAAAAGATTGGAACTGGCTTTCAAGTTTGGAGATATAGCGACATTATACCCATTTTACCAGTTTAACGTCTTGTGGTATGAAATTATCTACTTGATCTTTAGTATTTATCATGCACAGAAAATTAGGACAGTTTGTGGCTCAGGCACCTGGGTTTCAAACCCTCTTTGAGTTTCAACAGTGTTTATCGTTTTAAGGGGGGACGGGGTTAAGGGGGGAGGGGGCAGGGCCGGATTAACGTTCCGCGTGGCCCCTGGCATATTATCAGCGCGGGGCCCCTTTACCCCCCCCCCCAACCTTCCAACGGCATTTTAGACTCTGAATTCAGTAAAGATTAAAAAATATCCTCTTGTATTTCATGCGTTGAAAGGTTTCCTGTGTATTTACAAACAAAAATAATTATACATCAATAATTTGATCGAACTGAATTTCAACCCAGTTTATACCATTAATTTAACTCAATTAACATTATTACTTACAGGGGTAAAATAGCTAAACATGATACCGTCCATATGAACTTCTGCCGTCTTCCACAAAATTCAGCAATCTTTTAGTATTAATTAACAGTTTACTGCAAATTTTGATATTTTCTGACCCCCATGATTTTTTTGGCTTCGCTCTTTGGAGCCCCTTGCCCAGAGAAGGAGCAAAAAAAATCGGTTTGCGGCCCTGCTTTTGGAGCCTCGCTTTTTAAACTTTAGGGTCTCGTGTTTTTTTATTTGGGGCCTCGCTTTCAGGGGCCTTAGACTCTTTGGGGCCCGGCGCTGTTTGGATCCTGCGCTGAAACAGGAAACAAACAAACCGTTTCGGGTCCGGCTATTTAGGACCTCTATTTTTAAATTTTGGGGCCTGACGTTTTCTGAGGACCTTGGGCTTTTTGGGGCCCCGCTCTGAAACAGGGAACAAAAAAAAAACGTTTGGGCCCAGCTTGATGGGGCCTCGCTTTTTAAATTTTGGGGCCCTCGCGTTTTCTGGGGGACTTGGGCTCTTTAGGGCCCCGCACTGTTTGGGTCTCGCACTGAAACATGGAACAAAAAAATTCGGAAAAAATAGAAGAGAGTAAGCACGGGGCCCCCAAAAGCGCAGGGCCCCAAAAGCGCGAGGCCAAGGGGCGGGGCGCCCAAAAGCGCGGGGCCCCCAAAAGCCCGGGGCCCGTGGCATATGCCGCTTCTGCCATATGGTTAATCCGGCACTGACTTGCATGTTAGACTAATTTTTGATTTAGGCAAAAAAAAGTAAATTCCCGTAAAGAACTTATTAAAATCAGTAAAATTGCAAAATTTGGTTACGAAATGTTGTAAAGTGCAGAAAATATAGCTTTGCAAAGTTTGCATATTTTCAGTATGTTTGTATTACGTGCGGAAATTGTTACCATTTTTGAGCCGAAAATGGTAACAATTTCCACACGTAATACAAATATACTGAAAATATGCAAACTTTGCAAGGCTATATTTTCTGCATTTTACAACATTTCGCAACCAAATTTTGCAATTTTACTAATTTCATTATTTTCTTTTTAACTGTTGTGTTTGATTCCCTTCTCTTTACTTAGATTAAAATTTAGTCTAACATGCAAGTTGTCCATTTCACAATGAAATTCGTACGGTTATACAGCTGATACAGGGTGTGTTCCAAATTGTTGCACTGTGAAAGAAACTTTGACAATGAATGGGACAAAAAAAATATATGTGGGTTTCCGGTTTCTTCTTATAAAAACTAGGTAGGGTAGGTCGGTTTTAACTTTTTTTTTAAACTTTTTTTTTTAATTTTCCGAACAAGCGGACGCCATTTTGTTTAGTCAGTGCTTCCACATCCAAAGATAAATTTCCCTAATATTGCCTCAAATTTCAATTTTCCACAAACTTTTTCCTCTAAGTGGAAACACTTACAAGCGTGATCCAATAAAAAAGTTTAGGGTCGGGATTTCGACGTCCAAAATCTAGGTAGGGTCGGGAAACCGGAAACCCACATATTTTTTTTTTGGCCATGGGTGTACGAGAGGCTTTTTGGCGTTGTCGTCAGAACAAGAGCCTTCCACCTCTGAGTTCGCGAGTTCGATTCTCACTGCGGGTTAATGGGCACATGTGAAAAAAGTCAGTCAACGCTCTGCCGAAAAGTCGTGGGTTTTCTCAGGGTGCTCCGGTTTCCTCCCACAGGGAAAGTTGACAGGGTGGGATAGGTTAAACACAGTTAAGAAAATAATATTACAATTGTTGTAGACAGCTAGTGCATTAGTTTTAAAGATTCTTCAGTGGTGGGGCAAAACTGCCAAAGGGCCCATTTTCCTTGCCATCCTCCCCCCCAGGATAATATGCGATCGCCGAAGGTGTGAGACGAGTGCCGCAGACACGAGTTAGGTAGGGGGTCTGGGGGCATGCCCCCGCAGAATTTGGGCATTTTTAAATTTGGGTCTCTAAAATAGCATTTCCTTCCATTTCCATTTTGAGAACACATTTTAAAAAAAATCTTAGCTTCTCAATACAAAGTTCTAATGGTTCAAACACAACATAAGTTTAGTATGCTCACCAACAAATTTTGTTTTTTAAACTTCTTTTCAACGTTAAATTAATTTAGTTTAATTGTTTTATATATTATATTTGTAGTATTTTGTTATTAGTCAATTTTACCTTTAGCCTTTATACTAGGTAACTTTCATTTTGTATAGAATATATTATTTCATTAATTAAATATTAGAAGAAATCCCTGTTCGACTCAGTAAACCAGTCAGTGCCAAACACTACCCAAGAGTCGAATCTATCAATAGCAAGGTTTAGATCCGGTGAAAGTACGAGATTTCGCTAATTAAAATCCTACTTTACATCTCCTCAACGGACAAAGATTATAAGATTTAGTACTGGAATAACACGATCGTGACGTCACAGGAACTATGGAAAATTCCCATTTCATATTTCATAATTGATTTTCAAAACTGTAACCTTGAACTGAAGATTGGACGGACATACTATTAAATTCCGCTTTATAAGTGTTTTTACGTACGTATATACGCATAAAAAAGTTTAAATCCAATTAGGTTTTACTTATGAAATAACTAAATGAAAGGAAAACATTATTTTGTTGATATATTATTATAATGATATAATAATATATCAACAAAAATATATCAGGCCCTTTGTAGCTGGCCAATAAAACAGTTTGCACCGTTATTAAAGGGGAAAATCGTACTTTGCTATCCGGATCAAAAAGGCAACACTGCGAGCATGATGTCACAAAAACTTGCAATATTTCCTAAAGCGATTTGCAACAGTGATTCGGGAAATAGCACATGCATTAAGCCTGGTTCACACACTATCACAGTAGGAATTTTGTGTCAGGTAAATTCTAATGGTTTTGAACTCGGATTTGCAAGAAATGTTTGAGGGAAAGGACATGCACAGTGTAAATCAGTTTCCTCTGAAAACATTTCTTACAGATCCTTCAAATTTCAAAACCTAGAATTTACCGATGCAAAATTCCTATACTGTGATCACAGAATCTTTGATAGTGTAAACGAGGCTTTAGGAATTCAAAGAAAAGAGCTTGCTTGGCCTTGGTAGACTTAGCCTGACCTTCTCCAGGTCGTGATCCAGGTTAACACTTCGCTGATGATTGGTGGAAAATTTAATTAACCCAGCCCAAGGTAAGGTTTGAAGTGGACCACAGCTTTGGATAATCAGCTAATGTCATAAATCTAATGTTTGTGATGTTACTCTGAGTGTATATCCACACCGGGCAAGCTTGAAAAAATATGCCTGACCACGGTGGGAATCGAACCTACGACCTTTGGAATACTCAGGTCGGTTATCTAATTAACAATTAGATTAGAAAATATTCCACAAAATAATTGAATAAAATACGCGAGCCGAAAGCCATTCTTTTTTAAAAATGTGCCAGGAAGATTGTTTTGCTATTCGCTATCTATCGAGGAATAGATGGCGAGTAGAGTAGCCAATCAAATTACAGCAATTGCAATAGTATACTGGTATGATTCTACTATTAATAAAGAATATAAAACTTTCACCTTGCGATGTGACGAAAGCTTGCTAGCAAGTTGTACACAAGACAGCAGTCTTAGCGGCATCTGTACTTTAATCCTTGCCTCGACTTCGTTCCAATCTTTTAGTTTATCAACAGCTGTTGAGGTTTGAATAAACTGGTATAAACTGCGAATGTGTTTGATCATGAATCTATATAAATTTAAAAGTGAAAATACTCAAAATGGTTTCTAATGACCCGCCCCATACATAAAGAAACTATATATTTTTCTCTTGGGATTTTTCGAATTCATGTGGCTTTGAAAATTTTGACAAGCACTTTCATGAAAATTTTAAGTATTGAATGTCACTTTAACACGGAAAAACGATCATTTTGATGAGTGTGGCAACTCGTTTTATACCGTTTTATGGTGCAGAGCAAAAATTAAAACTGGCTGGAAATATCACGGCATTGTGGCGAACTAAGATTTTATGGACAGTTGTCGAAAGGTTCTGCGATGTTTCAAAAACCAACCTGTCGTATATTTCTATGGCGAGATATCTGGCTTCAACTGGCAGCTTTAACGCATCACATAGATTAAAAATGTACTCTGAAGGAAAAAAGGCACATTAAAATGTACTTTTAGAATGAAAAACAACAAACATACAAAGTATATTAAACACTGAAAATGTTGAAAGTGGTATCAAAAATGTTTACTATAGCAAAAACACAAGTTATTTTCCTGAGTCAATATACCTGCACATTTTGCGTTTTTGAAATAGCCCATGTCTTTGTCGGCATTGTCCATATTTTTCTCGTTATTTTCAGCAAGTGTTTGCAAAGAATCCTCGAGCAATGAAGGAGGCAATCCAAAAGCGTCGTTAAAGAGTGGCTCCGAGGGTGTACCGAAAATTCTCGTTTTCGCCAGTTTTGCGAGGCTTAAAAGCAAGCTAAGCCTTCCTATTCGTTGTGTTTACTTTCTGTGTGTCCATTTTACAATCTTATAGCATTTCTGGTTGTTATACAAGGCATTTCGTTTGTTGTACTCATGAAATGAAATAAAATAAAGTTTTTATTTTGCACTTTTGAAGTTTTTAAAAAGGCGCGGGAAAGTTGAGTTGTGTGCGGGATAATAATGGATAACAGTTGTTTTGCCAAGGCATATCACGGTACTTAGGGACAATTGGGGATACGTCTACATGGTCAAAAATCGCCGAGTGTCAAATTTAACAAATTTTTGCCCAAAAATCTTTACGCCGTTTGCATATAAGAATGAACAAGAACAAGTAAAAACATTGTCTATTTTATCAATTATCAATAGCATTTGAACAATTTCTATTGTTCTATAATCACGTTTAACTAATTGGCTGAGCCAACAGAAACCTTTGGTATTACAAACACTGATCTGTAAACAGCGAACGACAATATTGCAGTGTCAAAAGCTGAGACGTTCTGGTTTACTGACGCCGAATTGCGCGAAAAATACTCCAGTGCAATATATATAGCTCGGTGGTAAAAATAGGATCGAAAGTGGTTCTGGGTAAATCTTCAGTGCTACTTCCGTTTCCGGTTTATAGTTTTGGAAAGCAAAGGCGTACCGGGAAGCAGTGTAATTTTCCTTTCAAAATATGCCTGTAAGTTTGAATTTTTTACCTGTATTATGAATTAAATCTTATCTACAATTACCTATTGTATTGTTTTATATTCTAGGCGTATCATTCTTCGCTCACATCGCCCCGATCTTTGGGGAATATGGCGTTGTTGCCACTGAACACAAAATTCAAAGGGATGGCCCCTCCGGGAGGTATTTCGTTATTTACTTTTAATAAAAGCTTGGGATAAGTTTGTGCAACTTAATTACTCGATGTTGTAGTCAGTTTAATGTTAGAAGTAACTCACATAGCTTATTTTTGCAACTATTTATGTTTATGGTCTATAAAATTTGTTTTTTTTTCAATAGGTAGTGTTTATGTTTTGGGGAAGGCAGGGGAGGGAGGGTAATTTCCTTGTGTATCAAGTATATTTAAAGACACCAGATTGAAACATAGGATTGTAAATAAAACTGTAATACATCAAATACCATCTTGGAAGTATCTTTACAGAAGAGCAAGTTTTCTATGACAAATTTTGTGTGACAAGTTTATTTGTGCTTCTGCGTATAGACTATAGTCATTACAAGTACTTCTATGACAAGCACACTTGTTCAAACAAAAGCTAGCATACTAGCTTCTGAAATCTGAACAAGTGCACTTGTCAAAGAAAATTTGATAAAGTAATGGACAACAAGATATATTGTTGTAGCTATCGTAGCAGCCTGAAGATTAAAATTTCTCATAGAATATTTATGTACACACAAGTAATTGGCAAATGAAACTTGCTGTATGTGGATGAAAACTTGTCATAGAAAACTTGCTCGTCTGTAACTGTAAGGGACTGATTACATGCATTATAATCAGGCTAGCGTGCTTACTAAATAAATCATATTTTCTTTCAAACTTTCTATGGCATGGAAGCCAACCAGCCTTCCTGGTTCATGCTTAATTTAAACGATATAATTGTCAATTTCCATTGCTGGATGCTAAAAGCCTCCCTCTCACTTCTTCTGATTTCCATGTGCGGTATGCAATTTGCAGCAAATCTAAATACTATTGTAGAATTGTAATAATGCAAATTTTTAACTACAGATGGCTCAACTGACATTATTGAAGAGGCCATCTATTACTTCAAAGCCAATATATTTTTCAAGAACTACGAAATAAAGGTTTGAAATATTGAGTTCTCACAATAACACTTCCTTTGTAGTTTGGTTAAGTCAACAAAATATTGTTAGATACAGAATTCCTAATTTGTACTTTGTGCACAACACTACATATTTTCAACTTGGAGTATTAATTGATAATTCCTTTTTAGGGCGATGCTGATCGTGTGTTAATTTACCTAACACTCTACATTACTGAATGCCTAAAGAAACTACAAAGGGTACATTAATTAACATATAAATTCCTGTTTCAGAATATTCACTTGTCCAACTGTTTCATGGCTTTGGATAAAATAACAAAGTAGGGTATGCAGGGCTTGAAATTTGTACTGTCCCAATATCCATAGGATACCAGATTTTAAAATTGGATGCTGGACATCATAAGCTCAGTACCATTGGGACACTAAACAAATTGAATCTGTCCTCCACAGACACAGTATTTTTCTGTTGTTTATAAATCCTTCTTAAACATATCTTAGATTCATTGTTTCAGTGTTTGAATATTACTATCTGAACTAGATTTTGTGGTGGATTTCAAAATTTCTAATTTCAAGCCCAGGCATGTTAAGGTGTATTGCTGCCTACTATATTACCAAGAGACATTGGCAGATAGTGTAGGTAACCTACTGATGCCTCCAACACATCCCCGGCCCTTGACAAGTAAAATTGTCTCATAAAGAAACTTTAATTAAGAAAGAATAACGTAACAAAGTAAGTACTTTGTGAGATTTGTAGCAATGAGGATATTATGCAGCACTATCTTATTATCAAGAGGAAAGTTTTTATTAAATGTCTTTAATAAAATTCGATTTCTCTTTCAGTGTCAATCAAAGGAACAAGGCAGGAAAGAACTGCAAACATTAGCAGTTACAGCTTTTGACATTCCTGGCGACTCAAAATTCCCATTGAATGCCATGTATCAGAAACCCAACTCCAGACAAGAATCTGGTAAATTGAATTGTTTGTTAAAAGAAATTCCTGGATGTTGCATAGCATGGATAGTATCATAGCTGTCTCCATGGAGAAGCATGGTTAGGCCATGTAAAAAAATATCCTTGGTTTATCATCAAAGATTTTTTTATCGAATCATAGTTAGTAGATGGACAGAAGAATATATGTTCAAGTCACACAGCACAATTGTATGGAATAATCTTTTCAGAAGCTATCACACTTTTTATCTGAATTGCCAAGAAGTCTGAAGATCCACCATGTTCTCACAAACATCACTTAAATCTAGTAGTTACAGCATCATAGATGTGCTTGTAGAAAATCGGAACAATATTAAATAACAGTTGCAAGCAAAAGCAAGGTTTACTATTTGCCTACAGTGTACAGTACCATTAGAAATATTTTATTTTGTAGTACAGTACCTTTAGTAATTACATTTTTTTCATTCTACAGATCAAATGCGTCAATACATGGTTCAACTGCGACAAGAGCTTGGCTTGAGAATTGTTGACAAAGTTTTTGATCCCAAAACAGATAAACCATCAAAGGTACCATTATAATTATACCATTATTTATATACATATACTTTAGACATGTTTAGGTGACTTTCCATTGTATATTACCATAGTGGTGGATGTGTTTTACAAAAAGAAAATTCATGGACAAAAGTCTCTCTGGCCCTGGTCAATAAAACAGTTTTGTAAGTATAAATTTGCTATTTTTATATTTTCACTTTTTTCAGTCTTACTAAAAATTGCCCTCGACAAATTGACAAAGTTCCAATTGCCAAGACTGTATCATTCATGCAAACTTTTGTATGTTTTAGGTTGAAATATGGCTGGGTAAAACACAATGAAATGAAATTGTTACTGTAGTACATAATTTTTGAGGAAAAAAAACAAAAAAGAGTGGTTCCAATTACTTTGTCTTTAATTATAATATGATATGTTTCAATTATATTGTAAATCAATTTTATATCTTTGTAATAATAAATAATGCCAATGAAGAGCATTATGAAGTGCAAAACTGAATTGTTTTCTTTTCCAATTTACCACAAAACACTAATTTACCCTTAACCATTGAGTTTCAGATCTCTCCCCTTGATAAGTAAAATCATCTGGCATTAGATAGAGTAAATGACATTAACTTTCATACCACAAATTTAATTCAGCTGATTTAATTTATTTATCAATATAATTTTCAAATGATGCATTAATTAAGTTGTTCAAGATTATTTCATTTCATAATTTACGTACACTAGACCAGAGGCGTAGCCAATGGGGGGGGGGGGATAAGGGGGGTGTTAGGGGAGGACCAATTTTGTGATTTTCTGGGGGACCATGCCCCTGGCAAGCCAGACAATTAACCCCCCTCCACTCCCTTGGGGCTGGCTATGCCCCTGCACTAGACTTTACTGTTCATTGCCCTTTTGCCCCCGCTCCCGCGCGGGATTACAGTCTGCTGTCATTCGACGCTAATGCCGTACAGCTACCGACGAAATATGATCGGCAGTTTTTCATTGGTTCGTTTCAAAATTATACTTGCATAAATTTGCTTAGCTAATTTCGAGACGAGTATACCGGTTTTACCGATTACATAAAGTTTCTGGGTGCTGTTGGGCAGACATTGCCACACAAAAGAGCATTTAACTTTTTGGGATGAATAAATTTGGTAGAATTTACAAATCTGGCATATTTTTTTTGCCAGTTTATGTTTCGATTTCGTTGTATTGTTTTGCTTGACCTTGTCTATTGTCTATTGACCTTGTTTACATAATATAAAGTTCTATTTAAAGTAACGCACCTGATTGGATAATAAAATTAGAAAGCCATTAAAGTGCTGAAGTGCACAATATTATATCTATTTATACGTCTACGTCACTGTGCAGCATTAGTGACAAATGGTCGCAGACTGTTATCCTTCCACCACGGGGGGGAAGGGACAGTCTGTGCGCAGACTA